GCCAGCTAGGGCCATAGGGAGACCCTGTCTAAATAAATAGATGATAGATAGAAAGATAGATAGATAGATAGATAGATAGATAGATAGATAGATAGATAGATAGATAGATAGATAGATAGATGAAATGAAATGGATGGGGCTGGAGAGATGACTCACTGGTTAAGAGTGGTTGCTGCTCTTTCCAGAGGACCAGAGTTTAGTTCCTAGCACCCAGACTGAGCATCTCACAACCGCCTGTAACATCAGCTCCACAGAATTTGATGCCTTCTTCTGGCCTCAGCAGAAACACACACACACACACACACATACACACACACACACACACACACACCACACATACGTGCATACACAGGAACTTGGGGGTTGTTTCATGATGGACGACTGAGAGAAAGGCTGCATGGAACACTAACACTAGATTGGGACAGAGTCTAAAGCCTTGTCTGAGTCCTGTGGGAAAGAGTAAACTGATTGATTAGTGATGTCTGCCAAGAGTAACAGGATTGATTAGCAATGTCTACCATAGATGAAGGCTAAGCAGTGGTTGTCCTCTTTTGGAGATCTTGCTGGTTCCCTGTGTGACTTTGCAAACCTTCTTTCTTCAAATTGTTTTAAGGGGCCATGTGCAGGAAGAGACTCCATTTTTGAGTTACAGGTTGTAGTGACTTTCTGAGGGAAAGTCACTAGGATAAGAAATATATACCATGAGGAGAAGAAAAACAGTTTTCCACAGTGGTTTCAGAATAGGTGGGCAAGGCAGGGAAGCGTGACCTTTGTACTGGTCTTGGAAGGTGACCACGCAAGGTAGAGCTGCTCAGGAGGGAGCAAGGAGCCTCCAGAGCTCTGACTGGGCGGTAGGGGCATGAGGTGGAAACCTGACCACTGAGATCATGGGGTGTGGAGATAGCTAAGCCCCATTGAGAACAATTTGGTGGGCTCTACCAATTGTGATTTCTGGAGCCCAGGGGTAGGCACAGGGGTGTGGTTGCTCAGCCTCTGCATTCTGGGAGCTTCGGAGAGGCAAAAACCACATCCCAGGAGGAGCCAGCAAGATGGCTCAGTGGGTAAAAGTGCTTATTGCCAAGCCTGATGACCTACCTGAGTTCAGTCCCTCAGACCCACACAATGGAAGGAGAAAGCCAATTCCTGCAAGTTGTCCTCCGACTTCCATATGTGTGCCATGGTACACTTACCCCTACATATATACACAAATGGACAAAATCAATCAATCAATCAATCATTGAATGTAATCTAACTTATAATGGTACCCTGAACAGCTGGAGATTCAGTCTAGAGTGCAGGAGACCCAGTGCCAGGTTGGTGACACTGGAAGGGTGTACAGTGTGCAGGGGTGGAGGATGACTCTGGGCCAGAACCAGTGGGTCAGTACTCAGCACCATACTGTACAGAAGGATGTGGTCTTATATGATTTCTGAGGTGTCCTCAGGTCTGCAGACCTCTGACATGTTGATGAGTGGACTTTCTAGGTACTGGATAGTGAGGGGCAGGAGAGGACCTGGGACATCTGTGACCTCTGAAGTGGCTGACAGAGCTGGCAGAGGGTCAGCTTGGGCATACAGGGGCTTCAGACCCCCAGGGCCTGCGAGCAGAGCAGAGATGTCCTGGCTTGCTGAAGGTCAGGAATGTGATGTGTAGATGTGATGTGATTGGGACCTGGGGAAAGTTAACTTGACAAGCACTAGACTCATGGGGTCCTAACAAGTCAGGACAAGATCCATGGAGGTCCAGGTTGGGATGTCCAAAGGCCTCACAAAACTTAGAACACTCCATGGATTTCACAAGCTTCTAAAGATTCTGTAACTTTCTTTTATCTGCTCCTCCTATCCAGGCTCCAGTGGGTCTCTGGGGACCGCACGGAGGAAGGGGAGATGAGCTGGTCTTGAAGCACAAGCAGGCAGGGACCTCTGTGTCTGTGTCAGGCCCAGGCTGATACCTAGTCCCCTCCTTTTCCTCCCTCATCACAGGGCCTGGGGAGGCTCTGGAGCTCTGACTGGGCGCTGGGTAGCAGTGGCCAGAGTGGAAAATCCCCATTGGATGGATGACATGGTGGCTGGCAGATCTGTCCTGGCCTTTTCACTGGGACATCAGGGTCTGATAAATCTGTTTGGAGCCTTGAGTATAGGGAACTGATGACAAGGTGTTGGCAGGGGACTTTTTCCATTCATCCCCAAATGGAAAGCTTTACCAGGCCAGGTTGGCAGCCTAGCTAATTCAAGCCATGGAAAAGTTGTACTGAGGATGGAAGAGGGGTTTAGTAATGGTGGTAGGCAAGGGTGTTAGAGAGGGCAATGGAGGAAATAAAGGAATTTTAGAACTAAAGACAAAGGCATCTGGCCTGGTGGTATAGGCCTGCAATTCCAGCTACTTGGAGCTAAATGAAGAGGACATAAGCTCAAGGCCTGCCTGTATTACAGAGTGAGTTCAAGGCTAGCCTGGGAAATTTAGTAAGACTATGTATCAAAACTAAAAAGTAAGAGCCAGGCATAATGGCTCATAAGTATAATCCCTATACTTTGGAGGCCAGGGCAAGAATTTCAGGCCAGCCTAGGCTATATAGTGAGTTCCAAGTCGGGCTGGGCTATAGTATGAGGACTTGTCTCCAAATAAAATAAAAATAAAAATAAGGGGCTTAATCCCAGTGCTCAGGAGGCAGAGGCAGGTGGATCAAGGTCACTCTTGGAATATCCATAGAATATACTAAGTTTTATGAGGCCTGCTGGACTCCCTCTGGGCCTCCAAGGACCTTTTTCTGACTTGCTAGGACTCCAAGAGTCTGATGCTTATCAACCCAATTTAATTAAATTAAAATAAAAATGGACTAAGGGACTGGGCAGATGTCTCAGCAGGTAAGTGCTTGCTGTGCATCCATGAGGGCTTGATTTTGGATCTGCAGCATCCACATAAAAAGCAAGATAGCCGGGCGTGGTGGTGCACGCCTTTAATCCCAGCACTCAGGAGGCAGAGACAGGCGGATCCTCTGTGAGTTCGAGGCCAGCCTGGTCTACAGAGTGAGTTCCAGGCAGCTGGAGCTACAGGGAGACCCTGTCTCAAAAAGACCAAAAAAAAAAAACAAAAAAAAAAGTAAGAGAGATAGAGGCAGGTGGATCTCTTTGAGATTGAGGCCAGCCTTGTCTACATATCGAGTTCCAGGTTATCTGAAGCTACAGGGAGATTCTGTCTCAAAAACAATGACAAAAAATGGGTGCAGTGACATGTACCTGTAACCCCAGCACTGGGAGACAGAGGCAGGTGGGTCCTAGGAACTTGCTGGCCAGTCAGTCCAGTGGAACCAGAGCTCCAGGTTCAATTAGAGAGCCTGTCTCAAAAAATAACTCCATCTTGCCCAGTGAGATGGCTCAGTGGGCAAAGGTGTTTGCTGCTAAACCTGATGACTTGATCCCAGGGACCCACGTGGTGGAAGGAGAGAACTGAATCCTACAAGTTGTTCTCTGACCTCCACTGTACACCTTGTGCATGTGACACACACACACATGCAAAATAAATAAAAATGTAATAACATTCTTTTTAAAACGTGAAGTAGCAATTAGGAAAGACATCTGACATTAGCCTCTGGCCTCCATGTGCACCTGCACAGGCAAATGCCTGCACAGTGCATATACATGTACACACATGAATATGCCTCACACACACACACACACACACACACACACAAGCACAGTGGGCTGGAATGTATCTCAGTGGTAGAGTGCTTAGCATGTACAGGTCTAAATTCAATCTCAACACCCTATGCTCAAAATAAAGAGGGGCAGGTGGCAGTTGGGGTTTGAGAAGAAACAATGAAGAAAGCATCAAGGGGTGGGTGTGATCCCCTTCTCATACCTGGCTCTGGGCATCTGCCCTTATTTATTTTTATTTTATGTGTATGAGTGTATTGTCTGCATGTATGTAAGTGCACCCATACATACAATGCCCATGGATGCCAGAAGAGGGCATCGGATTCCTCTGGAACCAAAGTTACAGACGGTTGTTAGCTGCCATGTGGGTGCTGGGAACTGAACCCAGGTCCTCTGCAAGAGCAGCCAGTGCCCTTAACCACTGAGCCATCTCTCCAGCCCCATGAGCATCTGTTCCAGTTCATGCAAGAGGCATGGCCAGAGCTGGTATGGCTTCCTTTGTGAGTGTGTCCTGTGTACACACTGAATTAAGACAGGACTTCACCCTGAAAACTTCTGAAGCCACCACAAACCACTCTGACTTCAGTCACCAGTACCCCAGGCCCAGTGTCAGCACTGCCCACACAGCCCCCGTCACCACCATCGGCCTCCTTACCACCAAGATCATAACCATTAGACTGGTTCCTGGCCCCTAATCCCCCAGACACCCTGAACTCCACCTCCCAAGGGCTTAAGGGGTGCTGGACCTCCAAGTGAGGTAGTTGTAGCTAAACCAGCAGTTTTCATAAACTTTGTCCCCAAGGGGAAACTGGCAAAACCTGGAGACATTTTGGTGGTTACAACTGGGGGACTGTTCCTGGCCTCTAGTAGGCTACTCGATACCCTATGGTCTACAAAGTAGTACCCACAACAATGAATTACTACCAAATGTCACTGGTGCTTGGGTTGAGGAACCCTGCCATTGGGTCTCACGCCCCTCCCTTGGGCCCCCAAATGGCTACATCGAATCTCTGGTTCCTGGAGATGTAATCTTTGCCACTCCGTCTTGAGGCCACTTTGTTCCCTCTTATCGCTTGTCATTACTGGCCTTCTCTGCTTGAATTAAAGAATCAATAAGATGAAAAGTGTCATGGCCACGTTCCAGAAGGAAAAACACACAGAAACTATTGATACGCAGAATCCAAGGGACACTCTGGCTTGGGGGTCATGCTTGCCTAGGCCTGGGAGGCAGCGATTAGGCTAGTTCTTGGGGGTATAAAAGGAAGGAGTACAGCTCAGGTCTTCACTACGCCGCAACAATCGAACTTGAAGTGGCTTTTCCTCTGCGACCAGCTGCAAACCAGCATCATGAAGTGGATGGTGGTAGCCTTGCTCTGCCTCCCTCTGTTGGAGGCAGCCCTGCTCAGGTGAGACTGGGCACCAGCTGTTGGTTCAGGGAGACTTAGGTGAGAGTTTGGAGCCCTGCAAGGGGCAACCGGGGCAGGGCATTGGCCACTTTCCTCTATGGAATTGTTGCTGGAAGGGAAGACAGCCAAAGCTAGTGTTGCTTAGGAGTCAGAGATGGAGATGACACAGCCCTGCCTTCAGGTTCCGGGAGATGTAGTCTTTGCCACTCCATCTCGAGGCCACTTTGTGGCCTTCTAGTCAAAGGGAAACTTACAGTCCTGAAATATAGAAAGGCAGAATACTGCCCCAAGCAGCCCAATTATTGGGTGCAGTTTCTTCCAAACAAAGGAACTGTCCTTTCTAGAAATTTCCCACCGGCCCTCAATCTACCAGCAGATACAAAAATCATGTTAGCAAGAACAGGAGGACATGGAAATCTCTAGATGCTGAGGTGTGACAGGAAGCTCATGGTGGTACATACAGCAGGGCTTACAGGCACATCAGGAGGGCACCCAGCCTGCCACGTTGCCTGCCCTGCTGTTAGGGGGACAGCCAGCCTATCGGCATCCATGTGGTCAATCAGTGGCAGATTGAAAACTTCTGGAAAGAAAATTGTATACATACTCCTCATGACTTTTCTTTCTTGACATTATTCTCTCAATATCGTCCAACAACTATTGATGAAGTATTGAGATTGTACTAGATATTAGTAGTAATCTAGAGATAACTTAAAGTATGTGGGTGGGATGCACATGGGTTACAGATAATACATGTGGGCTTACACATACACATACTTTGGTACCTGGGAATTTATTTTTTTTACTTTTAAATTAAGATCCCCATTTTATTCTTTATTTTTCATTTACTTATTTGTACTGTGTAGGTGTGTGTGTATCGCAACACACATGGAGGTCAGAGGACAAATTTCAGGAGGTAGTTCTTTCTTTCAACTATGTGGGCTGAAGGGCTCGAATTCAGGGTCATCAGTCTTGGTGGCAAGTGCCTTTACCCACTGAGCCATCTTGCCAGGCTGGTTACCCAGTCACTTAGGTGAAGATCTGGCTCCTGTCAAAAACTTCTGTTGTGCAAACTTGGTAGAAGCGATGGGGATAGCTCATGGGAAGGGTTCAACAGAGAATTTCTGGAGAGTATAGTGTTCTAAGGAGATGGGGATTAAGATGGAGAAAGAAGAAAAAGAAACAAGAATTCTGGGTCCTGGAGCAAGGCCCCCGCTGGGGTAAGGGCAGGTGTTGGGGAAGTTGACTGTTTTCTGAATCTTGGAGCAAGCATTGAGGGGGATTTTGAGAGCTGGAGGAAACAAGGAGAAAAGGGCAGAGGGAGAGAGAGAGGAGAAATAGAAACAGATGGGGAGACAGAAAAAGACACAAGCAACAGACATGTATGGGACAGAGTGGCAGAGATGGAGGTATAGAATTGGAGCAGGACGAGGCAGGGGTGTTGGGAAGAGGAAGGAGGCAGGGTCCTGGCCTGACACGCAGCCTTCTGCAGGGTCCCCCTGAAGAGGATGAAGACTGTCCGTGAGACCATGAAGGAAAAAGGCAAGCTCAAGGAGTTCTTGAAGAACCACAAGTACGACCCTGGCCAGAAGTACCACTTTGGCAACCTCGGTGACTTCAGTGTGCTCTATGAGCCCATAGCCTACATGGACGTAAGTCCTATCATCCCCAGGGTGTCTGTGTCCCTGCTGCCAAAGCTGATGGCTCCCTGCCCGCCCACCCTGGGGCTCACTCCCTCTTCCAAGTCTGCTGTGGATGACTGCTCAGGCAGAGAATGGAGAAGAGCCCCCATTGATATCACAGTTGTGCCCACAAGAGAGCGTTATGGCTGCCCTGGGGAAGCATAGATTGGCCTCTGTGGGTTTAGGCAGGTGTAGAGGGGAAGACTTTGGGCTGCTGTTGGTGGTGTGGGCTGGAGGGCAGCAGTTGGATCCTTTACTGCTTACATGTGGAGAAGCTGAGCCCCTGGATCCCTCAGAACTGAACAAACTACCCTCTGACTCTCTCCCAGGCTGCCTACTTTGGAGAGATAAGCATTGGAACTCCACCCCAGAACTTCCTGGTCCTTTTTGACACTGGCTCCTCCAACCTGTGGGTGCCTTCTGTCTACTGCAAGAGTGAAGCCTGCAGTAAGTGCTGGATGAACGGGAAGGGGACTGAGATGCCCCCTGGGGATGCTGGGAGCGACTCATTCCTGGAGAGGGTCAAGGAATTGTGTGGACATGTGGCATATGCAAGCCAAAGGAAAGATGACCCTGCAGCTGAGTAGCCTTCCCTACTAAGCAATATGTACCCCTTTATTTGTGCCAGCACAACTCATCCCCTCTGTTTTTGGTCATCCCACCTGTCCTGACTACTGGGGCAAAGCCATTCCTTTTCTTGTGGGTAATCTCCACTCTAGTCCACGCTGGTCAGTTCGACCTTTCTATTCCATGTCACTACTTACGATGTTCTCATCCAGTGTGCCTAAAGGACAGGATGGAACAATGCTGCGTGTGGTCCTGTCTTGCAGTAGTTTGGACAACAGGTGGTATTTAGCTTCCTGACAAAGCCTTGGGGCTTCAGTCCTAACATCTCTGGTCTAAGGGATCTCTCTTTGGCTATATAGCCTATGCTACCTCAAGATCTTGGTATGATCAGCTTCTTGATGGGTGCAGGCTGAGGGATAAAGGGATGCCTATAGATCCATTCACTCCTTTGCTGGATGAGTTTTCACTCCGTAGTCTATGTGCCAGGGTTCTTCTGAGCCATAGAGGTAGAATCTAAGTAACCTTGCCCCCAGAAAGGCCAGAGTCCCAAGACGGTCCCTATAAGTCAGGGGGGCTTTTAGGGGCACAATTGGCCAGCTTTTATGGGCCTTTGATGCTGGGAGTTTGGCTGGCCACCCCATGACTTGGTGGCTTAGGTAGGGGATGCTGGAACTCCAGGCTGAGTGAGAGACTGAGGAGGGATGACTCACCCCAGATAGGAGAGGGGGAAGCCCTCAACTCACAAGCCTGACCTCTATATCCTGCCTTACCCTGCAGTCACACATACCCGCTTTAAACCCAGCAAGTCTTCCACCTACTACACCGAAGGGCAGACCTTCTCCCTGCAGTATGGCACCGGCAGCCTCACCGGCTTCTTCGGTTATGATACTCTGACCGTGAGTGAAGCACTCCCACTCCTGGGTGAGGGATGGGAGGAGGATTGGCGGCTTTACACTGAGCCCCTGAAATCTGATGGAAAAGCTATGCTCTGGAACGTGGGACAAGAAGTCAGCACAATAGGGCTTTGTCCATTCCCAGTACTGACACTTACCGAGGCTCGTCCTATGTCAGGAGCTGGGGACACCACGAGGAACCTGTTGGATGTGGCCTTAGCTCTTCAGAGATGGGGGCTGCAGGGAGAGACAAGGCACCACAGTGTTGCTACTTGGAAGAGAAGGTGGCTCCTGTCAGAGTTAGCAAAAAGTGTATGTGTGGGGGGTGACGTGAGGAAAGATGAACAGAGAGGCCTCTGAGGAGAGGGGCCTGGGGAAGCTAGGTACAGTCTGATCTGTCACCACCCCTCTGTTTTATCCTCCACTCCAGGTCCAAGGCATCAAGGTCTACAATCAGGAGTTTGGCCTGAGTAAGACGGAACCTGGTAGCATCTTTGTCTATGCTCAATTCGATGGCATCATGGGCCTGGCCTACCCTGGTCTGTCTGCAGGAGGCGCCACCACTGTTCTGCAGGGCATGCTGCAGGAGGGTGCCCTCTCCCAGCCCCTCTTTGGTGTCTACCTCGGCAGGTGAGCGGCTTTCAATTCTCTCCTTTTGTCACTCAAGTGAGGTTCAACGGTTTGAGGGTTGTAGACTCAGCCACACCTGTTCCAGAGCTTTCCTTCCCAGACTCCTGAATTTTGTCTCCCACCCTCACCTCTGCATCTGTTTCCTGTCCACTCCATTTTCCAAATATTATTATTATTATTATTATTATTATTTTGGTCTTTTTGAGACAGGGTCTCCCTGTAGCCCCCCTGGCCTGTAACTCACTATATAGACCAGGCTGGCCTCAAACTCACAGAGATCCACCTGCCTCTGTGCTGCCTCCCAAGTGCTGGGATTAAATGCGTGTGCTACCACGCCCAACTTATTTATTATTTTTATTTTATGTGTATGCATGTATTGCCTGCATGTAGGTAAGTGCACCTACTGCAAGAACAGTCAGTGTTCTTAACCACTGAGCCATCTCTCTAGCCCCAACTCCATTTTTTCGTTGTTGCTGTTTGTTTGATTAATTTTGTTTTTTGAGACAGGGTCTAATTATGTAGCGCTGGCTAGCCTGGAATTCACTATATAGACCAGGGTGGCCTTGAACCCACAGAGATCCGCCTGCCTCTGCCTCCCAAGTACTGGGATTAAAAGCGAGCACTACCAAGCCTGGCCTCACTCCATTTTTAAAAAACATTTTTTTGGCCAGGCATGATGGCACGCGCTTTTAATCCCAGCACTCGGGAGGCAGAGGCAGGCGGATCTCTGTGAGTTTGAGGCCAGCCTGGTCTCTATAGCGGATCCAGGACAGCTGGGGCTACAGGGAGACCCTGTCACAGAATGACAAAAAAAAAAAAAAAAAAAAAAAAAAAAAAACCAAAACAAACCCATTTATTTGTATTGGTGGGGTGAGGTGGCAAGCACATCCCTCAGCCCACTTGTGGAGGTCAGAGGGCAACTCGCAGGAGTCAGTTCTCGCCTTCCACCATGAGGGTCCTGGGGATCAAACTTGGGTCAGCAGGCTTGGCAGCAAGCACCATTACCTGTTGAGCCATCTCACCAACCCATCCAGTTTTTTGTGTTCCTTGGCCAAGACAGTCTCCCTGTTTTCTGCTAAACTCTGAGAGTTTCAACTCTCACTCTAGCATTTCCTGGGTGAGCCTTCTGTGCTGGGCCCCAGTGAAGTCCTACTCTGACCCTAGTTTTCCATCCCATATCTCTTCTATATAGTAATCTCTCCTTTGATCTACTGTTTCGACTGGTCTTGGAGTCTTTTGGTCTAGGCCCAGAACTGACTCTTACACCACTTGTTACCTTTCCAACAAACATAAGCAGGCACTGTCTTTCCATGTGGTTTAATCACGTGAATCTCACTTCAGGCACCTTCACTCCATTACCAACGTTGTGGATTTGCTTTTGGCTCCTGTTTCCAACTACTCTCCTTACCCCCTATAGGAGCTCCACCCAGTCCTGTACTCTGTATTCAGGCTCTCAGCCAGGAAGGCTACTGGAACAGCATGGAAAGTCTTTCCCTCTCCTTTGCCAAAGCCCTCCTCCTCTCTCATTTCAATAGAAAAGTAACAAGTTGGGCTTGGGCAGGGATCCCGGTGATACGGTGATAGGTTTCACCAGTGGTTGAAGTAAAAAGAGCAGAAGACAGTGTAGCAGTGGACTGGGGGTCCGCAAAGTAGCAGGTCCTCCAAAGGCAGGGCTCTGGGGGGCAGCATCATTTCAAGAGGCCCAAAGAGGGATGCCATCTAAGGGAAACACTCCATCCTCAAGGAGCCCCCAGTCTGGGGAGACACAGCCTGTCCTCAGGGAGCCCTCAGTCTGAGTGAGACATGACCCGTCCTCAGAGAGCTCCAGTTTGGAGCCAGAGAAGAAGCTGTTTCTCTCTGAAGGTAACTACTCAACACAGAAATCCCTTCACTGTTCACTCCCTGACTTACCCTTCCTTTGGTCTCCTACAGCCAACAGGGATCTAATGGTGGACAGATCGTCTTCGGCGGTGTGGATGAAAACCTATACTCTGGGGAGGTCACCTGGGTCCCTGTCACTCAGGAGCTCTACTGGCAGATTAACATTGAGGAGTAAGTCTGTGGTGGGGTCTTGAAGACGTGGCCTTCTTTGGGCTCAAGACACCATATACCATACATATATACAGAGACTGTTGGTGGGGGGTGCGAGGGTAAGGACCCCTGAGACATACCCTCCCCCAAACTCACAACTGACCTCTGCAGGAGCATCAAAGCCCAGACTAGAGAAGAGGGGTTGGGGCCACATAGTGAGGGGCAGAAAATGGAATCTCAAACTTGAGGTAGTCCAACACCACACATTAGCAACCGAGTGTGTTCCAAAGTCATTACAATGTATCAGTGGCTCTGGCTTTCAGTGTTTTTAGAATCTTCCTTGAAAACTCAGAAGTAGATTCAGTGGCTATTCAGGTGATCTCGGGTAGACGCTGGGATGGCAGGAGACACCTTGTCTCTGTACTGGGGGAAGCTCACTCTGACGGTCTCCACACCATTCAGCGTCCTCATTGGCGACAAGACCTCTGGCTGGTGCTCCCAGGGCTGCCAAGGCATTGTGGACACAGGCACCTCTCTGCTCACTGTGCCTTCACAGTACCTGAATAACTTTCTGCAGAGCATTGAGGCCCAGGAAGAATTTGGAGAGGTGAGCTTGGTGGGAGGAGGTCCCCCTTCCTCAGGGAAGGCCAGGCGGTGCTTATGGTTTCTTGTTGGGAACACAACTGATTTCTTCACCTTCCCTCAAGACACTGGGGGGCAGGAGCCCAGGTAGAGTAGCCTAGAAGCTGGAGCTGAGGGAATGTGGAGAGGTTATTATAGACAGGAATTTCTTTTGAGCTGTAGTCACCCAGGGTTACAGAGTAAACACCTTCTGGGTTCTGAGGTTAAAGCAAAATAACTGGAGGATGGAGCCAAGCAAGAGAATGACGTGGGCCAGCCCTCTAAGCCATACTTCTCTCACATCCGCAGGACCACATTCCCCTGCTCCCCTCTGTCCTGAGTCCAGCAAAGGGTTTGACTAATGAACCCATTTCCACTAACTTTGGAGGGACCCATGGTTACACGTTCCACAGATCTGTGTGTTAAAGGATACTTACAAACAAAGGGCAGAGAGGGGAGAAATTCAAGCAGGAGGAAAGCGTTGAAGTAGGAGACTCCTCAGGTCTCCCCAAATGCTTCCCCCTGTATGCCAATCTTCCTGTGGAAGGCTGAGGCTATCAAAGTAAAATTTCCCTTGGAGTTGTGCCCTCCATTCCAAATCAGACTGAGGACAGGGTATACCCTGGCATAGGGTATAGGATGCTGAGGTGGCAGGTGTGGTGCGTACTCTCTGGAGGGAGATGTGGCAACCTGGACCCTGTTTCTCTCTGCAGTATTTTGTGAGCTGTGACAGCATCAGTAGCCTGCCCACTTTCAACTTTGTTCTTAACGGTGTGCAGTTCCCTCTGAAGCCTTCTTCCTACATCATCCAGGTAAGACCCTGTGGGCGGAGCCACCGGGATTGGGAGGGGAGCTAGAGACTCAACTTCCATGCCCTGTGCCATTCTGCAATCCATTGAGGCTCTGACTGCAATTTTCCCCATATTGGAAGAGTACTGCCCATTATCCATAATTATCAGTTGCTTGATTAGAGACAAGCACTGGGCTTTTTGTTGAGCCCTTACTAGAGTCAGCCATGTGCAAAGTATTTTGTCTATGTTGTCCCATTTATTGTCACAGCATTTGGTGAGGGAGACACTCATTTCTCCTTACAAATGAAAAGAGAGGCTCTGTGGGGTTAAGTGACTGATCCAAGGCGACACAGAGAATGAAAGTGAAGCTAATGTTTGAATTCAAGTTGGTCAGGCTTTAAGGCTTAACTACCAGGCTGACCTGCTAAAGATCAGTAGCAAGGCAGAGGGGATGGTCTGTGGGATGAGCAGCCCCCCACTTAAAGAGGGCCCAAATTCACATTATTGGGGAAATCCTTCCAAGAAGCCCATGATTTGGGGGCACAGCTATCCTGGTGAGCCCTCTGAGCAGTCTTTGAATCACGCAAGGCTCAGGACTTGAGCATGCCCAGGCTACACGTGAACAAGTGAGTGATTTCTGTCTCTCTGCTGAACAGGGGGATGGCTACTGCATGGTGGGCCTTGAGAGCACCCTTCTGACCTCTCAGAGTGGCCAGCCCATCTGGATCCTTGGAGATGTCTTCCTTAGGTCTTACTACGCCATCTTTGACATAGGCAACAACAGGGTGGGCTTTGCCACCGCCGTCTAGACTTGTCACGTGGACACCCCTGTGCCCTTCTTCCTCTCAACCTTCCAGCTTATGAGTAGTTCCCTCTGTCCTTCCTCTCCGCAATCAACCCTCCTTTTCTGTACCCTAGACTTTCTCTAATAATAGTCATCTACATTAACCAGCCTGTTGTTCTTTGGGGGGGAGGCTGGGGATGTTGTGGCATATCAGGCACTCTTAGGTCTCAGGGAATTGTGAGAGTGAGAGTCAGGGCAAGTTTCACTCTGACTGACCTCAGTGGCCACAAGGTTTCCCAGTGGGTCACTGAGATTTTAAGAGAAGCAGAGCCTGAGGCCAGGCTTGGGGATGGGCCACTACTTCTTAGAACTTGGACTTTATTCACAGTTTCCTCTGAAGTGGGAGACAGTGGTAATAGCCAGAGAGGGGGAGGAGCTCTATGTGATGGACAAAGAGGAAATGGTCTGTTGTCCCACTTCCCCAAACTCCCCCACTGATGTCAGGACTACAGGTATGTTGTGTCTGAAGGGCTGGTACAAACCAGAACTAAAGGATTGTCTACTCATCTGTTAATCCATTTTGAGTAAAATCTTCTGAAGGATGCTGGTGCCTGTGTGCATTTGTAACAATGGTGGATCCTTGAGGAAGCAGGAGGCTGCTGGATAAAATATTTCCCGAAAGGCTTCAGAAGGGCTTTTTTACCCAACCTCCTGTCTCAGGCCTTGTATTTGAAGAAGGGCAGGCCCTCAGCCATAGTGGAGAGCAGTAGCTATTCGAGTTACATGGAAATCAACTTGACTTGCTGTAACAAGCTCAGCAAGAGGTCTGTCTTTCTAGACATCATTCTTGTCCCTCTATAGAAGCTTCCTAGAAAACCACCAGAAACTTGGTGCAACATGATGTGGGGAGGAGGAAGAGGAGAAAAAGGAGGAGGGGGAGAAGATAGGGTAACAAGGAAGAGGAATGGCGGGGAGGAAGCAGGAGAAGGTAGGGTAAAGAAAGAGGAGGGAAGGAAAGCAAGACAGGATGGCCTAGCATCCTTAGCTTCTGTCAGGAGGAAGGGATGTGAAAAGAGACTGGGAAAACTCTGCCTAGTAATAGGTGATGGTGATGGATACCTTCCACATAAACAGAGAACTGATACCAGGGTCAGCAGAGCAGGCGCCACATTTCACCAGGGCGGTTCCAACCTTGCCTCTTATACTCAGGGGCAGGGATAAAAAGGCAAGATCCAGGTCATGCACCCCATGATAGAAAGAGAAGAATATGGGAATGCGAGAGAAAAAGGAGTCTTTTACTCAAGAGTTTGGTTGACTCTTACCAGCTGAAAATAAAAAATTTCAGCACAATTAACATTTGCTGTGAAGAATGCTGACATAGACAATATTTCCCAATATTTCTTTCTTTCTTTTCTTTTCTTTGGTCTTTTAGAAACAGGGTTTCCCTGTAGTCCCAGCTGGCCTGAAATTCACTATATATAGATCAGGCTGGCCTCAATCTCCTAGAGATCCACCTGCCTCTGCCCCCTGAGTGCCGGAATTAAAGGCATGTGTCACAATGCTCGGCGGAGACAATATTTCTTTAAGAATGATAAAATAACAACCTTACTTCTCTCCCAGACATTTTCTGGGAATCTCACAAACAAGACTATTTTGATTACACTGAAGATATCCTAACTTCTGCATGATCTAGAATTTTACCCTATGAATTATGATACCATTAAGCATGCCTTAGGAACCATTTTGTGATCTCATTTAAGTTTCTTAGCAACCCTTTGACAATAACTTCAGAACTCATCAAAATCATACATACATACATACATATATATTATATGTATGTATATTATAGGAAAGAAATGAAATGTTGACTATCCTTTGAGGTCCACACCCAAGTTCTCAGGTGGGCCTACTCTATCCCTGAGGGCCTCTCTTTCTCTGAACTCCTGTGCTTAAATATGTATTTAAAAATATCTTTTTGCTAGTTGTGGGGGCACATGTCTTTAATCCCAGCACTCCAGAGGCAGGTAGATTTCTGAGTTCGAGGCCAGCCTAGTCTATATAGCAAGTTCCAGGTCAGCCAGGACCACATAGTAAGACCCTGAATTTTTTTTGGTCTTTTTGAGACAGGGTCTCCCTGTAGCCCCAGCTGTCCTGGAACTCACTATGTAGACCAGGCTGGCCTTGAACTCACAGAGATCTGCCTGCCTCTGCCTCCCGAGTGCTGGGATTAAAGGCGTGCGCCACCGCCCGGCTGACCTGACTTAAAAAATATATATATTTTCAATAAACTCTGCTTCATACTGGCTCGTCCTGAAATTGCTTTTATTTTTTTGCAAAAAAATCAAGAATCCAATTTTACCAAAGCACATGTCAGGGTGTTGCCAGCAATTCTGGTTCTGGGCCACCTTTGACACAAACCAGGAGAGAAACTGAGGTTTACCACGTAGCTGTTTCTATGACAGCAGTACACCATCTCGGACCCTATTATCTTTCCCTCGTTTCTGGAAAAAACAGCCCTTCCTTTTGGACCAGACAGGGCACAATATAAAACTGTAGTGGGCCCTAGCTCCAGACATCAGCGACTGAAAAAATAAAGAAAATCTGAACAGGGCAGAAATGGGTCAAAGGTTCTAAGCCAAAGGTCTTCTACTGGACCTCAGCCAAGAGAATGCGACTGCAAATCCCGGCGTGCCCCGCGTGGCTGCAGCTAGGAAAACTACGTTTCCCAGAGGGTATCGCGGTAATACTACGCGGGCGGGGGGTTGAACAGGGCGGTCCGAGAGGGGGGTGGTGGGGGTGGTTCGGGTGCTGCCCTCTGCCGGGCGCAGCGGGAAGTGGGCGCGGAGTGACAGCCGGAGCTCGGGCGCCCGGCGCGGGGCTAGGTGACAGCGGAGGCGGCGGCTGCGGGCGGGACGCAGGGAACGGCGACGGCGCCGACGGCGGTGGGACGGGCGGACGGGGCGGGCCTCGCTCGCTGGTGGCGCGTAGCCCGAGGAGCCCGAGAACGGGCGGCGGGAGAAGCTCGCGGGCCGGGCACCCGAACTTAGGACAAGTTGCCGGAATCGCTGGGCGCCGGCGGCGGACAGATTGACCTTCAGAGCGAGGTGAGCGGGGCTACTGGGCAGGGGATGCACGCCGGGGCTGGGGATCCTGCTCTCTAGCTCTGCAGCTCCCATCCTGTGGGTGCTGGAGACAGGTGGGTGGGTGGGGGGTGAGGACTGGAGCGGGACCCGATGCACCGTGTCGCCATCCGCCCGAGCCCCGGGTGCCCGGCGCGTGGCCCGGCGGTGCCGCGCGCTATCCGGGGAGCCCCTTGGGCCCCTCCCTTCTGGCCGGGCCGGGGGCGGCTGCTCTAGGACCTTATGTAACCGGGGCGGGAGGGGCCGGGGCGGGTACGGGGCCTTCCCGGCCCGGGAAATTGAACGCAGCAAGGGGCGGGAGGCGCGGGAGTGAACTTGCGGGAAGTTTTGACTGACGTCCGGGCCCTTAGTTCGCTCCCCTTCCACCGATGCTGCGGGGGCGGAGGATGCGGGGGAGGGAGTCGGAGGCCCAGGGAGGTGTGCGGGACCAAGGCCGCTGGGGCCAGGCCCAGCCTGGATGGTCCGGGGGAGTGGGAGGGCCGGAGTGGCGCCCCGCCCCGGGGGCTGGGCTGCAGGGGGGCGGGTGGACGTTCCCTCCCTTCCTCCTATGCCTTCCCACCTCCTGGGTCTCCGGGTTGAAGCCACCCCAGCTTTCGACCCCTGATGCCCCTGGCCGGCGTCTCCACTTACATTATCCCACCATCCTAGCGAACCCCAAATCTGGGTCGCACCCTCCGCGCGCTCCCCACTTTCTCTTATCCTGGGCTCCCAGCCGTCTGAGCGCCGAACCCCTCCCCTCCCGCCCAGGTTCCCGATTGGGTCCTGAATCCCAGAAAACACCCGATTCCCCCTGTCCACCCCAGTTCCGCGTCGCCTAACCCCAGGCTAGCCCGCCCCGCCGGGTCAGTGCCCTCGTCTTTCTCCCACTGCAGACTCCGCTCGCCTCTTCCGAGGCACCGGGCGGATGCCACCTGGGTCCCCGCCCCTCGGCCCCCGCCCGGCGCGGGGTTCTGGCTTCACGCACGGCTGCTCGGAGCTGCTCCCGGGCTGCGCGAGCAGGTTCGCACTGCAGCCGCCTGGCGCGCCCCAACCCCGCGCCCCGGGGAGGAAGGGAGGGCGCCCGGGTGGGGCTGGTCTGCGCCAGCGCTGGCTCAGCCCGAGCCCCCGCCCTCCATTCTCCGCCTGTCCCTCTCCGCGGAGCCCTTCCCTAACCTCGGTCGCCTCTAGCCGTCGAGCTCTCTCCTGTTGAGCTGCAGATGGTTCAGCGTGGACAAAACTTGAGCACACAGTTCACTAGCATAGTGTGGGTCCATGACCTCCAACCAGGAGTGAGGGGTTGCTTGATGGAGCAGGGAAGGGGACTAGGCCTCTGGGACATAGCTTCAGCCCCCTGCACCGGCCCTGGCCCAGATTCTGCTGGCCCAGACAGACCTGGCACTTGGGCTGTTGGGGGTGAGGTGGGGGCCAGTCTCCGGTTTCCTCTAGGGCAGCTAGGTGCAAATGCTGGCAGATCAGAATGCTGAGAGGCCTGACATCTTGGTCCTGTCCCTTCCAGCCAGCTTGGTGCCCGAACTGGGAGCCAGCCCTCAAGCCCCGCCCTCGGGCATACCCAGTTTGGAAAGAGATTACCAGTCATAGGAATTGGCCTGCCAGGAGGGGCAGTACAAGAAGGGCTGTTGCATACGTATTCCTGCTTGATAGTCTGAGGGTATGCTTTTACCGTGCCTCAGTCCATCCGTCTGTCTTCCCCCCCACCTCCCCCAGCAACATCCTTGGCATCCTTCTTTCTGCCTGCCTCCTGGCTGTTGGTACAAGAGAGCTGGGAAGCAGAGGATGTAATGAAGTTCAGGTCTTTTGGGGGTGACTCTGTGTTCAGCTCCTCAGGAGGTGATCTTGCTTAGGTTTTACAGGTTTAAAAGGCCTGTTACAGCTGAGTGCTAATTTGTCCTCCACTTGGGAGGTGGGAGCCAAAGGGAGACCCCA